CCGCTCTGTGCCCCCTTTGCTCCTGCTGCAAAATCCATTGTGCACACACAACCCAGTGCCATCTGGGTTTCCCCCACCCCCATTACCATATCCCATGGCACATATGTCTAAGTTTTCTGCTTTCATGAGGTTGTTCAGACCAGTATGAGTGCATGCTCTGAGTATTTTTCAACCCCCTCCTATTTAGAAACCAAATCCTATTCATTAAAACCTAAATCACTAAGCCTGCCAAATTATTATCCCCAGAATATCGTGTGTCCCAGATTCTCCCAGGGCTGGACCTCTCTTCCTACAGTCGTATTCTTCAGGGACTTATGCTTACAGCAGTAATTGTTGTCAGTGGATCTGAAACACCAATCAACTGCTTAAAATGGGGGGAAATATGCAGCATACTAAATATCTTTGAATGGCTTGACAGCTCTGATACCACTGTGTGAGCCTTACATTAGGTGGGTACCCTGGAAATTTTGGTTCATGATCATAACACATATTTTAAAAAAAAACTTTTTTTTTTCAATTTGTTTTAATGAAAAATACATCTGTGATGCATCAAAATGTCATAAACTCACTATGTAAAAATAACTTTACTAAAAGTGAAATAAACCGCACGACAATCCATTCCTTTCTCACACTGCACTTCACAGCTTCATTTAAACACAACTGTACAACTGTGTGCAATAGTGTAAGACAAGCAAAGTATTTTCTTTCCATTTTGGACTAGTATATACTTGTTTATTTAGAGCTTAAAACCTGAAATATGGCTTCATATACTATAAAAATAATAGAGCTCACAGCTATTACTAACCACAAGGTCTTCTTTTATCAAGAGAACATAAGCAGGGAAGAGCCAATTAAAAGGGACCTTTGGTACAGCTGCTCAAACTGGTCTTCATTATTCCTCAGCAGAGCATAGGCAATTTGAACATCATATGTATTCATATAAGGAACCTAAACTCTAGTATCAGGGCTTTCTTCCATCCCGTGTGTAACTGGTGAATTCAACATGGTCATCCACAGTTGGGGTTTATATTCTTTTTTTTCTTTTTTTTATTTTATTTTGCAACTTGGTAGTATTTCTCACAGTCAAATGAAAAGGGAAACTTCTTGTCTCTGCTAATGTGTATCAGGATCTATATCCTTCACTGCTGATGCAAAACGGCATTTCGTTTTTCTTATTTATTCCACCTCAGTAAATCTGCCTGCCCAGTCCTCGCATTCTGATTTAATTTAATGCCTGCAAGATAAACCCTGTCATTTGTAATAATTTGTAAACCTTCATCTTTAAAATGCATCCAATCTGTCCTGCAGCCCTGCAAAGTATCTGTTAAACATTTTGCTTCAGCTTTCATGGTGTTTTCCTCTGATAAGGGCTGCTGATACACAGCATAAAGCTGACTTATTTCTTATCTCCATCAACATGAGGGTTGTTCCAATTCCAATTTAAAAAACTGGGACAGCAGCCACTCATCTGGGTGCAGAGAAACAAATGTCAGATAAACACTGAATCCATCAGCTGGGTAGTATTGCTGCCTGAATCAGGTAGGGGATTCATGAACATTATTAAAAGATAGCATGGTTTAGGTCTATATTTTAGGAAATTTAAAAAGTCTAAATAATCTTCAACAATTTTCGTTTATCAATCTGTAACTATTCATAAAGCACATTAGCTTGTGCAAATTGTCTCAGCTACACAGCAGTCCAAAACAGCTGGCTGGCCACACTTGCCACAGAGATGGGAAACACAACCCAATACCTGTGTGGCACCAGTGCTCACACACGATTGCTTTGGGTGCTCAAACTGAAAACAGACCTCGCTGCTCATGCCAAGGGCTTCAGCAGCATTGCTCTCCAGGGTTCTCCCAATATTGGGAGACTGTACACAGACAGCACATAGTCCTAGCCCAACTTCCTCCAAGTATTTATTCCACAAAACTACAGCACATCATCAAGAAGGTCCTTGCATTGAAAACACACCTCAGAAACATGCAGCTTAAAATTCTGGCTAAGGGAAAATACCTCTTAGCTTAAAAGCACGATTTACTATTAGATAAATGCAGATACTTTCCCAGAATATGGCAGTGAAAAGCATACTGAGTGTGAACTTGAGTACCCAAAGCAGAATGCTCATGATCTTCCCTTGCTCAGTCCTAGCAAGAGCAGCATCTCCCAAACCCCTTCAGATGGTGGTTTATCTCCTTAGGCTTTGTAATTAATTTCTAGAAGGAAGAGTTGAAAGACCCTATGATAGGACTTCAGCTGCTTCAAGCTGTGGCAGTTGCCTTGAATTAACTGGATCTAGGGCATCTCATAAAGGATGGCCATTACCAACTCCAGGTGGGATTGAAGAGGAAGAAAATGTTGCAAGGCTGGCAAGCATGTGAGCCATAACAAGTAAGAGATGTGGTCCAGAGAGTAAATGAAATCTTCTGTTCTGTACCCCAAAATAAAGCAGCAGCATTTTCCTGCGAGTTTCTTTACACAGAGAAAAAGCCCATTTTCCTCCACAGGAGTTGCTGGTGAAAGAGCCCTATTGAAAAATTCTGACATTTGAGAGTTACGTGATGCCTGCTGAGCCCATCTGAAAACCCAACTGGACTCGACAGATTTAGCACTTTGGAAAACCTGACCCTCAAAACCAAACGTCTTCTACGTCTTCTCCATGACCACTTCACAGCAGTAACTTTGCAGGGGATCTGGTCTATTTGTTTTGCTATAGAAATTAGGAGTAGGACTTTCAGCTTTCTGCATTTTAATTTGCTGTGAAGCATATTGAGAATTTAAGTGAAGAGAAATACAGAGCATACTGTGAGAGACAGTATGCTACTTTCAGGAATCAGAGAATCAGCAGGAACAAAGCCTACAAGTGTTACATACATATACTTATGTAACACATCCAAAGTATAAAATTATCATAGAAAAAAATAAGAAATTGTGGTAACATCGGGATAGGAGGCTCCCTGCTTGCATTTGATGAAAGCAACAGATCAACCTCCTTGACTTGGAAGCAGATTTACTGTTCTACATGTTGTTCTTTCATCCTTGCCAAAACAAAAGGGAAGCCATAAACTCATCATAAACACACTCAGCAACACATTTTGTTTTGCGCAGCTGCTAATGCATGCGGATAACTTTCTTTAGTGTTCATTGTAACGTGAATTCCATTGGTTTAAAAAAAGCTCCTCAATCAGAAGAAAGAATTGCTGTAATTTTTGAAGAATGATCTAGGTGGTTTTATAGTCAATCTATTCAGGACATTTTGTACATTAATTACTCAAAATCTGCAGTGAGGTGGGTTATTGTCCACATACACTAATGGCTTTCGGAGTTTAATCTCTCATCAGTGGACCTCCTTTTGTGAAATCCCTAAGGGATTATGTAGTACTATGTCTAATCACTTGACAAATTTCATTTACTTGAAACTGAAGCTTGTTTTATATGAAGTGTGTAGCAGCAGTCAGATTCAAAGCAGGAAAACAAAATCTGTTACTGGACACTTCCGGGATTTATCGTGTTTATATCTGAACTGCTTAACAATCGATGAAAGAATTCTGCTTGGGGAAATGCACTAGTTGTTTATCAGCTGCTTAAGCCTATGAGATACTCACATGAGATACTGAGATTGCTTATAAATGATACACAACAGGTTAAAAAATGTACTATGGCTCAAGTAAAAAGGCAGTGGAAATTTAAATAATTTTGTTGCTGTTGTACCATTCAGTAAAAAAAAAAACCCAACAAACTGCTATGATCTGTAGTCTGCTGCACTGAAGAGGAATGGTTATTTGACACAAATTATACAACACAGAAAGAAAATATCCCTTGCGAGTTGAATTTATGCTCCGAAGTTCAGCACTCCAGACCAAAGAGAATCAACCTGTAAAGCTGGGATGGATGAAGCACCTCTCTTTCAGCGCTGCCATCTCCCTACAACAGAACCATTACCATGGAATTGTTCTCTCCATTAAGCAGCAATTCTCAGTGATCAACACATCCTGAAATCTAATGTTGCAAAACTCACTGCATTGTTCTCCCTTACCATAGTGCAGGCAGATAGCTACCAAAGTAAAATTTGCCATATGACACCACAGAAAAGGAGTTTTAAAAATAAGAGTAGCATTTGGCATGGAGCTCACTACACGAAGGTTGTGTGACATTATAATCTATTATATGTTGCTATAACCTAGGTCTCCCACACTGCATTGCAAAGCCTCGCTACATGGCTAGTCTCGATGAAAACACCAGATCACGGCTCCGAAAACAACATGCAAACACACAGGCACACGCTACCTCTGTAAACCAAATTCACCAAAATCTGTCAAAGACGCAGCAATAACGAGACTTCTTTTTCAAGCATCATTTCGGGTAGGGTTAGGACAGATTCAGAGCAAATACAGACGCAGACAGAAAGGTTGATGCTCTATTAATTTGTTGTCAAGCCATGCAGGAAAGGACGGCTGAAAGCCCGAAGACGCAGTGATGATTGTTTAAGAGCTATTTGAAAAAGTGACAAAACTGGCCTAAACCTCTTTAAGCCCCCTGAATGAAAAGATTTAAACAGGCTATTGTTAGACCCCTGGGTACCTTTTTTCTCTTGGCTTTGTTCTGCATTTTCCTCCGCTGCAGTTTCCATGGCTGGCTTCATACCATCCACCAAAAATGCCGCCCCCCCTCCCCCCCCAGCAAGCACTTTTTCTCTTCGCCTCCTTTCTCACTCCCTTCCGTCTCCTATTTACAGCGGCGGTGATTGAGCGGCTCTGTTCTCCCCTACAGTAGATTACAGTCCTTTCCAAAATGCCAGAAAAGTCTTGTCAGCTTCAATTTCGCTCCGCTGACTGGTCCACGAGGAGCGGTGCCAGCTCGCTCAGCTATACGTCACCAGGGTCCCCAGCTATAAAATAGCCATCCTGTGCCTCGCCGTGCCACACCGCGGGGACAGCACCGCCCGAGCGCGCCCCCTTCCTCCTGCCCTCCGCTCTGCCCCGCTTTCCCGTCTCCCAACCAACGTTAATCAATTCTCCGGGTAGTGAATGGCGTGGTGACACCGGGAGGGGAGATGCACGGCAGAAAGAAAGGAGCCCCCAGCCGCGGTGAGGTGAGCCCCCCGGCCGCCGTCTCCAAGGGGAGTGCACGCCGGCACACAATCACACGGCTCCCTTTCCCATGGGACCTTGTTATTATGCTTTGCATTTTGATTTATTCCACATGCCCTCTGCTCTTTCAAGGGGTGGGGGGTGATGGGTCTGCTCTCTCTGTTTGCTTTCTTTGCTGAGAGATCCGCTCACCCACGGTAAAAGACTGTGTGAGAGAAGCATAAAAGCAAAAGCGGGCATATATATGTACGTACATGGAAAATTTTAATTCTTTGTTTGACTCGTGAGCACAATGGGGGAAAAAAAAGAAGAAAAAAATATCCAAGCAAGGAGACAGGAAGCTAAAATGCACGTGCAACACTCTAAAGGATAAAATGTTTAAGAAAACACAACTTGGGCTTTAAAAGGAGATCTGCCACTAGAGACCTAAAGCCATGCTTGGGAGTGAGCACAGAGCTGCTGTTCAGCACGTTTGATCACTCCCCAAATCCAGACAGACTGCAACATGATCAAATAAACTGCACTTGGGAGCAACAAACTCAAGACATGCCAGCATTGCACTGCATGAGGTGACTTTAGGTGTCCCCAGCCCACTCTTGTGCTGGGGAGCCACAGAGCAGGGCTACACCACACAGGAGTATTGTTCCCCTCCCAAAACCCAGGACAACTGACACATTTAAGGCTGCACTGAGGCTAATTAACCTTGCCTGTCACTTTGCTTGTCTCAATGCCTTACAGTGCAACACACTGCACAGGGCACAAGCGCCCAAAGGCAGCCCTTTGTGTGTGTAGGATGGTGGAGTAATGGCCTTTGTGGTCCAGCCACTGCAGCCAGTTCTGCAGCCTGCAAAGACTCACAGCAGATTCAGCAAATGCTGGGGATGTCAAAACCTACACCCTGCATGTTCCCTATAACAAATTCAAAGAGGAGAGTGGGAAGAGGGAAGCAGTCCAAAGATTTGTAGATGCAATTTAGTCTCTTCTAGTTGAAGATAGTACAACCCACAATTTTGCTGCGCATTTTTATTGCTAGATGTCAAGTGAAAAGCACAAAAGCCCTCAGACCCAACCATTAGAGAAGGTTCTCATCTCTTTCAAGAAATTAGTGCATAAACCCTCCTCTCTCACCTCAGCCAACACAGCTGTTGCTTTGCTTTGGGCATTACTGCTCAGAGTTCAGGCTTCAGCACAGCTGCCAGGAGGTCTTGGTCATATCCTAAGGTTTTGTATCACAGCATAAATCTTGATGCCAAGCATTTGCCTAAAACGCTTCCTTGGAGTCCAGGAACAGTCTGCAGTTGAAGCTCCCACTTCAGCAGACCTCTGTGTAAGCAGGATGATGGCAGTAATTTGTAGATGGCATGCAGTATCCTCAGGAGCCAATGTGGGACAAGGGGTTGGGTTCCTGAAAGCAATCAAATCAGTGGCACAGCAGAGACCTCAACCCAGGCGGCAAGGCGTACTTCCCCCACCTTCCTCTCCAGTGCCAAGACAGCAGTCCACACACAGACTGAAATCCCTCCCCAGCAAGACCACGCACTGCAAACACACTCCCTGAAACAATCAGCCAAAAGGTAAAAGCATGGCTGATGTGTTTGCTGTATTCTTTTAACCATTACTAAAAGTTGTTGGTATAATGATTACACAAAGAAAAGGTTCTACGAAGAGTGGGGCTTTTCCCCATTTAACATCAGTAAGACTGAAACTCCATACCAAATACACTCTCCTTGCTGAAAGTCACATAAATTTTAGTAATTGGTCAAAGTGCTTGATTGCTTCTGACATAAAATTCTCTTTTTGGAACGCCTCATTGTGCAGTTGGTACTTCTGTCACAGTCTAGATCTCTCTTTCTTAATGATCTTTGCTTTTAGACTGGAAGGTCTAAAACCTTAAAAGGCTGAAACCTCCCTTCAGACTACCCTAAGTTACAAAAGGCCTGTTCATAACCTAATTCAAGTGGTGCAATATCAATGCACTTATCAGTATAAACACACAGAAAATACAAACATAATCTGGAATTTCCTTTATTTAAGCAGAAAACACATTAGACATAACCTGTGGTTACAGACTGTCCCTGGAGGAAGCCCACGACTGTAGCCCTCCCCTCTTTACCAGTGAGATCTACTCCTTCAAACAGCTGCACACTTTCCTACTGGTGAGCAGAATTTTAGGCAGGCTCAGGACTTCAGAGTTTATGATGTTTCAGAAACTCAAAATTAACAGGCTGGGAAACTATTTCCTCAACTGTTTCCCCAGAATAACCCCTTCCCCAAACAGGCAATGAAAAATCCATGCACAATACCAGAATCAAATTCACAAGAACCTGAACTGAGCACTTCAAAAATCATCAAGCCCAACTCTTCAAAAGCATTAGTCCTACCAACCTACCATCCCCTAAAAGCTCCAAGTGATATATGAGTGCAAAATTCTCTACCCTCCCTTGTTACTATTTTCTGGATTGCTGCAATGTATGACAGGTTTTAAGCACTTATCATCCTAAGTAATTTCTAGATTTTCAAACTTTTACACCATCATTGATAAATACAGCAAATAAAACAAACTATACTATTTCCTCCAGTGCTAACATGGTGCTGATCTTGTGCCTCAAGCATTAATCTCAGCCAGCAAGTTGTCTCATTCAATGTTCCCTCCCTTAAACAGATACATCCTTGTCATAATATGTGATGAGACTGGGAGACATCAAGTTTATGCCTATGACAACACAGCACAAGATTAAGCCACAAAGGGAAAAAAATCTTTAAAACCCAAAACTTTTAAGACTGATATTCAGTAAAAACCTGCTTGTACAGACCAAGCTGATTTAGATAACCAGCAACAGGGCAGGCAGCTAGTTACATTTGAGAAGTTCAGCCCAGCATTTTGTTTTTGCAGAACAAGATAAAAGTGAAAATGAGGAGAGGGGTTGAGCAGCAAGGGTTTCTGCTGCTAAAGCACAGCTCTGAGCCTACTGCCAAACCTCAGGATGAATAGCAGTGGAGGAAAGTATGTGAAGACACTGCAGACCAAGTCACATTTACTGCAAAATAGTTTTAAAAAAAGACTTAAATCTATTTTATCTAGGTATTAAAAAAAACCCCAAACCACACATTTAATCATTTTGCTCAGTCAATTAAAATAGCACAATTGCAGAAGTTAAAAAATACATTAGAATCCCTATTCTGTTCATGTGCCAGTTTCTTTTGAACATCTATCTTTAATGTCACTGAATCTAGTTTACATTCCTGCAAGCTGAGAAGCTCTACCATAAGCTACAGCAAATTCTTCACAAGCTTTCAGGAGATGAATACACACTTGCCATTTCTACAAAGGCTTCACAGAGCTGTAATAAAGAGTGTTCTCACATAGCTGAAGAGCAATTTGAGATTATCTATGAGATCCAAGACTCAGAAGTTAAAATACAGAGACTGTCCTTCAAACAAGACTGACACATAGTCCAAACAACTAATTTTAAAGATGACTTGTAGAAAACTTTTTTTTTAATATTTAAGAGAAAGAACAAATACACGTGAAGCCACTTGGTGCAATGTAATTGCTCATGTTCAGCTTTAAACCAGTTACCAAAGACTTGCTTATAAAACCCAATCCAAATACTTATGCAAAAGCAGGCAAACTTTCCATGTGGATAAAATCAAAGCATGACAAGTTTTCACTTGTGCAGCAGTCATAGATCTTGCAAGTACCTTACAAAAACTTAAAAACTGGGGTTCATTCTTTCAGATATACTAGGTTACTGGGAATATCGAATCCAAATTAACAAATAACAGTGGAAAATCTCTGCACTTATACCACAGTATAAAACACAGACATGAGTCTGCACTGCACTTAGGGGGTCTCAGTCTCAAATTTCTGTAAGGAAAGGCAAAAATAAAAGCTTAAGCATGGATAGTGGTTATCTCTGCAGCCAAAGAAAATCACTGAGTTAACCAATGGAGCTAAGTCCAGGAGGGTACGCAAACCTTAACAGCGTGAAGATGCCAGTGCTGTGACTCCCTTAACAAAGCCTCATGAAGATGTCAATGACTGCTGCCAAGCTAAATGCCTGGTGACAAGCAGCAGGCAAAGGAGATGTCACTCACTTGTGGGGGTACGTACAGCTCTCTGTCCAGCCTGCCTGTTTCCAGCTAGACCACTACAGTTACAGCCACGGCTGAGAATCAAAGGTAATAAACAGCCCAGAGCCAGAACATACACCAACAGCTAACATTCAGTTGGAACACAAAAGGAAAAAACAAGTCCCTTAGAAAGTGAGCAGATGGTTCTGCATGGCTTTTCCATAGTTAGGTCTCATCAAGTTCTAGTCTCAAAGATAGCTGTAGAGATGCTAAGTCTACCAAAGAAAACAGCCTGAAGAACTATAATGAAAGTCAAAATGAAATAAAAAGTTGATGTCTTCTTAAGCAGGTGGGAGCTCCATTTCCACTTATGAAAGGCAGTCAACAGCACAAAAGGAAATAATTTTTAAAAGTGATGGATTTTATTTATTTAATCTAAGGGCCTTAGTAACATTTTTCCTGGGTTTTAGAAACTTGTATTTAAAAAAGAAAAATCTGGGGAAAATAATTGAAAACTCTTGACAGACAAAATACAGGACTCTCAACCATCCCAAAGACTTCCAAGGAAAGGCAAAAAAATGAAAACAAAATAGGGCGGAATCAACATCACTTCTTGCATCCCTCTCCTGTGAGGCTGCCTGGAGTAGCACCATCCTTTTGGCAAGCCAGAAAAAAATATGATGACAAACTAGAGCCCATTTAGACTACAGTAGAAAGAGCATGGAAATACAGAAAATGAAAGCAAAGACTTCCTAGCATGTCCCCCAGGAGGAACTTTCATTAGGCAAGTGTTCAGAGCTCCAGCTCCAGTGGCTGTCCTCAGCTTCTACTCCAGCTCCACACATAGTTTTTACAAGTGTACTGCATGGCACGTTTCAAATGCTTTAACTTTACAATGAAGCAGCAAAACAAGCCTTTGAGTTACCCA